GAAGGCCATTTTACGTAGCCCAGGGCAAGAAGTGTTAGAGAGAGCTCAAGACTTATTTCTTACTGGCTATGCGAGTTTGTCTCCTTCTTTAGCCGGTTGCCGATTGATAGATACTTAAGCGTGTGCTATCTTATGCATTACATTGGTTCCCCGTGTAGCTGGGTGTCGAGTATACTCTCACATCGGTGTACTGAGATTTATTTTCTTGCGTGGTCAGATAAGCCACACAAAGAACTTAGTTTTTTAACTAATACTTTCAAATAAGCAGTCCATCCCATGCACCCGGGATACCTGAACCGGCTTTTACAACTGTTTGCGCATTTTTATCCACCCAATCAGATGGCGTGCGTCACATGACTCCCTTTGCGTTGCTATTGGCAACGCAGGGCAGCTATTGGACCTCTGAGGACTTAGTCGCGTTCCTATTCCGGTCGATCGCACCGGAAACCGCCAACAACTACAAGCACAACCCGAGTGACACTAACCAAAGCCGCAAGAGGAAGGTCACTCCTTTCATCCCGTCCCAGGTATGTCGATGGATAGGTGTCTGTGTTGAGTGCTGGGTAGTCACGTACTGTGAGTCTGATAGTCTCCCACACGGCTGGGGTGCACACATACACTCGGGTCACCGCACAGTGAGCTCAACTGATCTCCCGCGACAGGTGGTGTAGCACCAGCCACAGTGTAGTATGGTGTCTAAGTATCATTAGTCGTCGGATGAGACAACCACGGTCTAACCCCTGCATGTGCGTCTAACCCATGGTTATACAATTACTCGGTCCTAAGTTCCTATAACTACTTATTTATCTTTTTGTGTACCTGCATGTACCTGCATGTACCTGCATGTGTGTGGATGTGTGTGGATGTGTGTGGATGTGCGTGGATGTACCGGTTGAGATGCTTGTAGTGCGTGGCGTGGCTGTGCGTGTTCTGGGTGGTATCTGGGGACACTGCCCACCCACTGCGCACACGATGTGCTGGCGAGGTGGGGTACTGCACTGAAGTCACCCACAGCGTGTCTGTTGTCATGGTTTTCTGTTGTCATGGCAGTGTCTGTTGTCATGGTTGTCTGTTGTCATGGTTGTCTGTTGTCATGGTTGTCTGCTGTCATGGCTGTTTGTCGTCATGGTGAGTTTTGTTGTCATGATTATGTCTGTTGTCATGGTGATGTTTGTTGTCCTGATTATGTCTGTTGTCATGGACATTTGCCATGGTCATGTCTGTTGCCATGTTTATGTCTATTATCATGGCCATGTCCGTTGTCATGGCCATGTCCATTGTCATGGTGGCACACACATAACAGCACTTCACACCAGTCTTATCTGCTAGTCTTGCACCCCCTCCCAATGAGATGGTGATTGCAGGCAGTAACACCGTGGTTGCGCAGTCGCTCGAGGCTTGTGGTCGCAGGGGGTGCCAAACCATACCATCGCGCGCACGATGTGCTGGTGAAGGTGGGGTGTGCGCAGGTGTTGCAGGCGAAGTTCTCGTACGGAAGCGTGTACAGTGAGTTGGTTGGGGAGAAGGTCGAGGTGTCTGTGCTGACGGATCCGCCCCACGGCAAATGGAAGAGTTTGGGCACGGTCATGTAAGTGGTTAGGGCTGTATGTCGCTGTCAGCTCATATATGTGGTTGTCTCGTGCTTCCATGTACGTGGCTAGTGCTATCTGTCTTGGTACGCTACCTGTATATGCATGGCTCTCTCATATTCATATTAGCCTCGTGCTTCCTTGTACGTGGCTAGTGCTATCTGTCTTGGTACGCTACCTGTATATGCATGGCTCTCTCATATTCATATTAGTCTCGTGCTCTGTGTCATGCGCTGTGTATGTGCACCCAATGTTCTGGTGAAGGTAGGGCGTGTCTGGTCACCACAGGACAAGTTTTCGTAAGACTGTGTGTACAGTGACCCGATTGGCGAGACATTGGAGTTGTGTGTAGTATAAACACAGACAGACAGAGACACTAAAACACAAACACACACACACAT